ATACCGCAAGTCCCATTAAGGAAGCCAGGCGGCATGTAAAGACTCACCACCATGCTTTCTCCTCGCCAAGCGTCATGGGGGCTTTCTGGCCAATCAGGAAGCCGGGTGGCGGTTAATGACCCTCCGTCCGGCTTCCTGACCAATCAAGATGCTAGGCGGCGAGTCATTACACTGCACCCGGCTTCCTGATTGGCCCGGGTAGCGGGCTCTATGTTCCCTCGTCGCCAAGTAACGAGGGAGCATGGAGCAGTCTTCCCGGCCAATCAGGATGCCGGGCCGCATGTAATGACTCGCTGCCCGGCTTCCTGATACCAGAAGTTCGGGCATCTGGCTAGGCATCGGAGCATTTGGGCGAGTGACATGTCAGTATTGTGTTCATTCAGACGTGTAAAGCTACTGAAATGTCTCTTTAAAGAATAACTCCGGGAATTTAAAAAACGTACCCTTGTAGTGCACTGCAAGTGTTAGGTGCTTGTTTTGTTTAGGGGGCTCAAGTAAATAAAATACTCACCTGATCCTCAGTCCCACTGGGCTGCTAGACCGCTCCCCCCCCGAGCCCCTGGTGGCCTAGGGACCGCTGACATCATCATGTCTAATACAGATCCATTAACTTGCACTAGATGTGAGGAACATTCCACAGTCGGAGCACTGTTGGTGCCGACCACTGCGGGACTGAGGATCAGATGAGAGTATCTGCTTCATTTTTGCCCCCTGGATGAAACAAGCACTTAACCCTTGCAGTGCAGGCGTAGTGGTAGGATTTTTAATTTCCCGGAGTTCTTCTTTAATGCTCTATATCACTCCATCATCTTCCCTGGTGCCGTGTAAAGTCTGAACGAGATAATAGACATATATCCAATGTTGCCAGGCAGTGACCGGTATATACAAAGCTATAATCGGATACAATAACATGACGTGCCCTCTGTGTTCCAGGGTGCTGCGGTTCATGCTCCTGCATATTAAATATCTCTACGGGATAAAGATCGAGGTCCGAGGCTGGGAGAACTTCGACATTAAGGAGCCGTATGTGGTTGTGTCAAATCACCAGAGTTCCCTGGATCTGCTGGGTAAGAGAGACTAGATGTCACGCAATGACTTCACTGCCAAAAGTCAAGCCAGGCTCTCTTGCACCTCCCAGTTGGTCACCGTTATGAACCAATAAGAGGCATGGGAGTTGGGAAGGGGGAGCT